GCGAGCGCCTGGTGGCCGGGCCTCCCCTCACGGGGCCCGGCCGGGCTTAGCCCGAACGAGCGACGTGGGGACGTCCTCCCGTGGGCCCACCACCTGCAGGAGGATCCGTAAGGGGCTGGTGCAAAGTGGATTGGGCAGCAGTCGAAGGCGGGGGCCCCGACGACCCAATCTCTGGACACGGAGACTTTGTTCAAAATAAACACTTCAATTCTGATGGCTGCAACACATTCCAAAACAAGTGGGGACGGTTGCATTTCAGGACCAGTAATGAGGTAAAACAATGAAATGATGATTCCATGTGAAACAGGTAATGTCAGCAGGTGACTGCATCATGATTTGGTACAAAAGTGGCATCCAGGAAAGGCCGAGCCCTTTAGGAGCAAACATTGGCCGAGGACTGCCTTTTTGCCAACATATGTGTGAGAAAAGCATTGAAATGTTTAAAAACATTGTTTCTCAAAGATAGGGAGGGATTTGGATATGTCACCCTCTACGGTGCAGAACATAATTAAAAGATTCGAGGAATCTGGAGGGACTTCAGTGTGTAAAAGACACAAGTCTAAGCCTGAGGACCATGCTCTCCGATCCCTCAGACGGCACTGCATCAAGAATCATCACTCTTCTATAAGTGATATAACCATATGGGCTCAGGATGACTGCCACATCTGTGTCAGGCACTACAATATGTCCATCCATAACATATACATACAATATGTCCATCCAACATCCATAAATGCTGCTTAAACCTGCTGTGCCAAAAGGAAGCCTTATGTCAACAGTGTCCAGAAGCTCAGTCGACTGCTCTGGGTTCAGAGGTGCTTGCGATGGAGTACCACACAATGGAAACATGTACTGTGCTCCGATGAATCATTATTTCAGGTGTTTTTTGGAAGGAATGGACGCCGTATGCTCCGGAACAAAGACAAAAAGGACCATCTAGACTGTTACCAGCAACAAGTCCAAAAACCAGGGTCCGTCATGGTCTGGGATTGTGTCAGTGCCCTTGGCAAAGGTAACTTACACTTCTGTGATGGCGCCATTAATGCTGAAAAATACACTGAGATTTTGGAGCAACATATGCTGCCTTCAAGGCGACATATTTTCTAGGGATGCCCATGCATATTTCAACATGACAATGCAAAACCTCATACTGCCACATTACCAAGGCCTGGCTGTGGAGGAAAAGGGTGTGAGTGCTGGACTGGCCTGCCTGCAGTCCCAACCTGTCCCCAGTAGAGAATGTGTAGTGCATTTCGAAATGCAAATTGCATCAGTGAAGACCCTGTTTTCATTTTGATTTTACATACCGTCCCAACTTTTTCTGATCTGCTAAGTTATTAGCTAGAAGTAAGTTGATCTCTTATTTTTGTATAATGATTGTCAGTCTCAATGCTGACTCTGTTCTCCAGGGTACACTAAACTGCCATTTAAATGGTTTGACT